GCACGCCTGGGCGACCGTCCCCGGTGGGTGAGGCCGGGCGGAGTCGCCACCAGCTCCGCAGGGAGTAGATGGTAGGAGGCGCCGCCCCGTCCATAAGTCGCCTCCCCCACGCTGCGCCCTCCGGGGATCCCCTCGGCTCTCCGGACCGCTCTTGAGATCTCGGCTCCAGCCTCGTTTTTAAAACACTTTTTCTGCTGGGGTCGGGGCTTTGTTGGGGTAGATGAGGACACGCCCACCCTACCGCGGCGTGTGCCCTCGAACTCTGCCTGGGCGCATGCTGCTCGGGTTCCACCGCGGTCGGGGCCGCCCACTCCCTGCGTTCCGCGCGCTTCTGCGGGGCCTTGCAGCGCCCAGGCCAGAGGGAGCGCCGCAGGCCTTGCAGAGGATCCCGGTTTGCTCCAAGACCGGAGAAACCTGCGCCCACCTGCCCAAGTGGATGCGCACCTTCGTTCCCATGAGAGAGGCCAGTACCCCTGAGTATGTAAGGCATACATTCAGAAACTACACAGACGCCCGCACACACTGCCCAGCGTGTAAGGAAACTCCGATTGCCTTAAGGGGCACCTGCAACCTTTGAAAGCCCTCCTTAGTTCAGAATTCGCTTTAAATCAATCCCAAACCTCCTAAGCCTGAGAGGAAGACCATGTTGTTGGCGTCAGCAGAGGTTTTCCCCAAGGTGGTTGTTTGCACATCCTTCCAATCCCTGGGGTAAAAGACTAAGGGAAAGGACATTTTAAGTATTTTAAATCATCAAGAAAAAAAAAAAGGGAGCACATTTCATGTGTGTACTTTAAGGTTGGTCCAAAGTCCAGAACAAGTCCCTGAAGCCTGAGTTTGCCCTTCTATTTTGGGAGCTAGATATCCAGGAAAGTTTTTTGGCAAATGATGAAAAACTATTTAATCAAAGAAGGATCATTGTTCTACCTTTTTTCTTTTCTTTTTCCCTAGCTTTTTTCTTGCTGAGAGGATAACATGGTCATAAATACGGAAAACATACAAAAACCCTTCAGAATTTTGGTTCATTCTATTTGTTGTTATTGCTTGACCACAAATTAGTGTGAAAGTTTTCTCCGAGTGAAATTTGCTATATACTAACAATTACATAGCCAGGAAAATGAGTAGTGGTGTTTTTTATACTGTCTACACTGAAAAAAGTTTAAAAAAATTTTTTTTGTTTAGAAATGGCTTTCTTTTGATCAGTTTTTTTTAATGCAAACAAAAATGGAAAGCCTCAAAAAGTAGAAATTCTCAAGATCTCACCACCCATAAATATGCACTGTGAAGACTTTGTTAAGCATTCTTCCAAAAATCTTTCTATGCTCATATACATGTCAATCATACAGGTAGATATTCAGTCTTTTAAAATATTTCTTCGGATGTCCAAGAACAAATTAAATACCACAGATCTCTAAGACCAAAAAAAAAGTATTCAAAATTAGTACATGCCAGAAATTAACATTCGTTATATTTGAGTATCATTTCTTCAGCCAAACTTCAAGAATTACTAAAGTATTAGCAAAATGTTCAAATGAGTTAATATACATAAAACTACTTTGTAAACTGCAAAGTGTGGTTGAAAAGCCAGGCATTACTGCTTATGTCCACAGCCAGGGAATGCTGGCCAGTGTTCGCTGTAGCGTATCCATGTTTTATGGCATGCATTCAGTACATCTTGGTTGAGTGTCTAGCACCCATGCAGAACTGAGCTAATTGTTTCAGAGGAGAAGAATAAGTAACCAGGACTTTCGGCTGCCTTCCATAAATTTACTGTCTGGTTGAGGAAGCAAAAAGAGGTACATATCTAAAGTCAAATTGCAGTTCATTCAGTTAATTCAATAAATACATCTTGAGCACTTACTGTGTGCCAGATGCTGAAGATACAATACTGATGAGGTCCATGCTGTCATGGGCCTTATGTTCTAGTGGGCAAAGCAAACAGAAGGTCAGACAGTAAGTGCTATGAAGAAATAAAAAGTAGGCTAACCAATAGTGACAGGATACTATTTTTAACTGTACTAATCAGGGAAGGCTGCTCTGAGGAAGTGACATTTGAGCAGGGACCTAAATTAAGTGAGAGAGTAGGCCGTGACCACCTAGGGAAAGATCTATCGGGCAGAGGAACAGTAGGTGCAAAGGACTGTAGCAGGAACATGCTCTCTGTACAAGGTAAGGCAATGTAAGTGCTGAATATGTGCCATAGTACAGAATCATAAAGTACAGGATCTCCTCAAATCCAAAGTAAAACATTTGGAAACTTCACATACACAAAAATGTATTCACCTTCTCCAACAAATCTGCAATGTTTTGCCTCAAACTAATCTACTATTGCATCCAAAGAGATAGACTATACTAATTTCAGTGATCAATTTTAGAAATTACTCAACCTTTTCATTTTGCTATTGGAACAAAAGAGCAGACATCACATTCTTCAAAACTATCTGCATTAAACTGATGAGTCAAACACACAGCTATCACAAACCCAGACATTTTCCTCCAGAATCTACTGTCCTGTTCATTCCCCCTATTCTTGCTGTCAGGAGGAGAAAGTCTTAAGTTGATGTCTCAATTTGCAAGATTTACTGAAACACCAGAGTCCTGCAGAGAAAAGTTTAGTGGAAAAATAAGAAGAAAGCAAGTTACTGAAAAATCTGGCAAATTTAAACGTTCTCATTGATTTATTAGCTTGAATAAAACACAAGGAGAGTTGCACATACATACAACTTCATTATATTATTAACAATTGTCATTATAATTACATCTTAGACAGTATGTGATGAAACTACTCCACTCTAGAGTTAACAAGAACCATGGATAAAAGTCATATAGTTATTAGTATCTTTAGTGTTTAGGTTATGAAGCATTTGCTCCAGTTATTAATAATCTTGGACATAGGCCCCATTTGTAAATTTTCCCCTTTTCTGCACAAGATATACACCATTGTACCATGTTATATTTCTCCTGTGAGAATACAATTTGAATTACGGTGTTAGTGGAAAATATTGAATATACCATGGACTGCCAGAAGAATGAACAAATCTGTCTCGGAAGAAATACAGCCAGAATGCTCCTTAGAAGCAAGGATGGTGAGACTTGCCTCACTTACATTGGACATGGTATCAGGAGGGACCAGTCCTGAAGAAGGACATCAGGCTTGCTAAAGTAGAGGGTCAGAGAAAAAGAGGACGACCCTCAACAAGATGGACTGACACAGTGGCTGCAACAATAGGCTCTAACATACCTACTATTGTGAGGATGGCACAGGACCGGGCAACATTTAGTTCTGTTGTACATAAGGTCACTGTGCGTTGGAACCAACTCAACACCTCCTAACAGCCTAACAACATGAATACAAAGTGGATTCAAAGCAGGGGGATATTTTTCTTTTCATTTTCAAAAAAAAATTTTTTTATTGTACCTTAGATGAAGGTTTACAGAACAAACTAGCTTCTCATTAAACAGTACACGTACTGTTTTATGACATTGGTTAACAACCCCATGACATGTCATCATTCTCCCTTCTCGACCTTGGGTTCCCTATTACCAGTTTTCCTGTCCCCTCCTGCCTTCTAGTCCTTGCCCCTGAGCTGGTGTGGCCCTTTAGTCTCATTTTGTTTTATGGGCCTGTCTAATCTTTGGATGAAGGGTGAACCTCAGTAGTGACTTCATTACTCAGCTAACAGGGTGTCCGGGAGCCATGTTCTCAGGGTTTCTCCAGTCTGTCAGGCCAGTAAGTCTGGTCTTTTTTTGTGAGTTAGAATTTTGTTCTACATTTTTCTCCAGCTCTGTCCAGGACCCTCTATTGTGATCTCTGTCAGAGCCGTCAGTGGTAGGAGCCGGGTACCATCTAGTTGTACTGAACTCAGTCTGGTGGAGGCCATGGTAGTTGTGATCCATTAGTCCTTTGGGCTAATCTTTCTCTTGTATCTTGATTTCTTCATTCTCCTTTGCTCCTGAAGGAGTGAGATCAGTGGAGTATCTTAGATGGCTGCTCACAGGCTTTTAA